GTTCTGTTTTCCACCGAGCAGACGGAGTTGGACAGCTCACATGGAGTGGGTTTGTGTCACAGCAGTTAAACGCTAACAGAAAAAACAAATGGAACGTTAGGAGTGGAAATTAAATACATTAACCCTAATGAGAATACTGATTTGCTTTCCAGCAAGCTCTTTGGAGCGGAAAACTCCCACACGGTTAGGCAAAGAAATCTAAAGGAAACACTAGATTTTGGCAGGGATTTTCAAATGACCCCTGAGGAAGGCAGGTATCCAAGTCGCATCACACGGCATTGCGCGTCTCTCCCTGTTGTGGCCATCTTTATGACCAGTCGGTTCATGGGAACAAGGGAAGCGTGGGGAACGTCACAGGCAGGCACCTCCGAATTACCACTGAAGGACACGTCCTGCACTGGTCAAGAATGGCTCACTTGAGAGAAGGCTAAAGAAATACTGGGGAAGGTGACAAAATATGGACAAAAATAGCTTGTAGTGGAATAGCTCCAGCAAACAGGGCTAGCAGACAGGAAGTCAAGGTGTTAAAATAACCACATCAAGCCGTTTCGTACATTAGCTACGTGTGTAGTATCTGAGTCTTGGGGTTTGTGCGCGTTGGTTTCCCCCGACAAATAGGTAACATCAGCATTTGGTCTATGTGTCTGCTCTATGTGACTTCATGCAGGCAACCCTCAAAGTTTCAGAGATACAGGTGAGGAGGAGAGGAACAGCCCCATGCAAGGGGCAGTGGGCAGAGGGGTGCCTGGCACAGCAATGAGCGCCTGTTGCTGGGTCGCAGGGTCTCTCTGGGGTGGTGTGGGCAGGAGACCCTCGCCCCAGCCCCTGTCCAGGCCTCCATGGGATGCACACCCTTTGGGACAAGCGGCTCTGCAGACACGACCCGTTCTCGTTCTTCCATCCCCAACGTGGCAGGGCAGGGTTTTTTAGGCTTAAAAGGCTAAAATAAGCCACGGATCTTTCCGCTGCCCATGGAGCCCAGGCAGACGAGCCGCCTGAGGGCAAGACGAGGAGTCTCAAGAGGCGGCAGACGCCCGCCCCCGAGCCGGGC